AAGAAATGTGTAAAAAGCTGATCAGAAACTTGGAGAATAAGACTCAAGCTCTAGATGCAGCCAACAAAGAAAATTCCTCCCTCAAAGAAACAATCACACATTTGGAGGTTGGAATCACCAGGAAGGATCTTGAACTGGCAAAGGTGAAAGATGAACTTAAAAAGGCAACTCTAGCAATCAAGAGGATGAACACTGGCACAACTAAACTCGAAGAGATTGTGTCACTGGAGAAGTACAACAAGAATGAAGGTCTAGGGTTCAACAAACAAGTGAAGAAACACAAGCCAGTAAAGAAGAAAGAAGTTGTCTTTGTAAAAGAGAAGGGTTCAAATGGAAAAGAATGCAGAAATTCCACAGTCATCACTCCAGAGTCCAGAATAAGGGAATACATTTGTCATTACTGTTTCTCACCAGGACATATTCGTCCATTTTGTGAAAAACACAGTAGTGATAAAATGTTGTACAGAATGAGTCACATCACTCCAGGCAACACCTCACAGAAAAAGGTAGAATTTACCAAAAATGAGTGGAGAATATGGACTCCCAAAGGTAAACTTATGTGCAAAGCAGTATACACTTCTTTAGATGCTAACATTTCAGGTTCATGGTACTTTGATAGTGGATGCTCTAGGCACATAACTGGAACAAAAGAATTTCTATCAAACTACCATACACTCAATGGAGGACGTGTAACCTATGGAGGAGGAGCTAAAGGCAAAGTGGTTGGACGTGGAACACTCAGTATTGAGGGACTTCCAAAACTTTCAAATGTTTTACATATTGAAGGATTGGGGTCAAATCTCATCAGTATTAGTCAATTGTGTGATGATGATCTACGTGTTCAATTTGATAAATACTGTTGTTCTGTGTTTGATAATCAAAATCATTGTGTACTGACAGGTTCCAGGTCAATGGATAATTGTTATCAAACAGGTGATACCATCTCATGCAAGAACTCAAGAGTAAGTGAAGTAGAGCTGTGGCACCAGAATCTAGGGCACACAAACTTCAAAAATCTGAAGCTGCTCAACAAGTACAATGCCATAATAGGAATTCCAGATCTCAAAATCAAGGACATTCCTATATACGGAATGTACCAGAAGGGAAAGCAAACTAGAGTGCCATACAAAGTGTTACAACGCGTTGGTACCACCATTTGTTTTGAACTTGTACATATGGATCTTATGGGTCCTATAGAGGTAGAAAGCCTAGGTGGTAAGAAATTTGCATTTATGTGTGTTGATGATTTTTCGAGATATACTTGGGTGTATTTTTTAAGAGAAAAATCAGATCTAGAATACATGCATGTGTTTGGATGTGTTTGCTATGTCCTAAATAATAGAGATCATCTATCTAAATTTGATTCAAAAAGTGATTTGAGTTTATTTGTGGGATACTCTAATAACAGTCATGCGTATAGAGTATATAACTTAAGAACTCGAACCATTATTGAATCTGTAAATGTGGTATTTGATGATTTTGTTGATCTCCGCAGTAAAACAGCTGAAGATGAAGTTGATGACCTGATTGCTGAAGGAGAAACAACCGGAGGAGACACTACTGCCACAGATGCTCCAGATATAAACAGTCCAGTGTCAAGAGAAGAGGGTGTTGAGCCAAGTGTTACCACATCTGACTCAATACTTCATACAGAGAGCACAGAAGCTGAATTGCAGCCAACTCATGATGTCTGCAGAAAGGAACCATCAAGTAGAATCCAGAAAAATCACCCCTCGACTCAAGTTGTGGGAGATATCTTTGGTGGAATAAGAACCAGAAGAAAAGAGAGAGTGAACTACAGAGATATGGTAAGATTTGCTAATTTATCTTCTGAATGTGCACTAACTGGAACCACTTGTTTTGTGTCTTTAGTGGAACCAAGAAATATTGCAGAAGCTCTGAAGGATGAATTCTGGGTAAATGCAATGCATGAAGAGTTGAATCAATTCATCAGAAATGATGTTTGGTTCTTAGTTCCCAGACCAAGCCATGTAAATGTGATAGGGACTAAGTGGATCTTCAAAAACAAAACTGATGAAAAAGGTACAGTTGTTAGAAATAAAGCTAGGTTAGTAGCACAAGGATATACTCAAATTGAGGGTATAGACTTTGATGAGACTTTTGCTCCAGTAGCTAGAATTGAATCTATTAGATCACTTCTTGCTATAGCCTGCTTTCTTAAAATCAAACTGTATCAGATGGATATCAAAAGTGCATTTCTGAATGGAGTTTTAAATGAGGAAGCATATGTTGAACAGCCAAAGGGTTTTGAAGATTCTGCCAAGCCTAATCATGTTTTCAAGCTTAAGAAGGCACTGTATGGTCTTAAACAAGCTTCTAGAGCATGGTATCAAAGACTCACTGACTTCTTACTTGAAATACAGTTCAATAGAGGGGAGGCAGACAGAACCCTATTTGTTAGAAGAACTAATACTCATATCATTATTGTTCAGATATATGTTGATGACATTGTTTTTGGCTCTACTTGTGCTAACCTTTTGCAGTCTTTTGTAGATTCAATGTCTCACACTTTTGAAATGAGTATGGTAGGGGAGTTGAATTACTTCTTAGGACTCCAAATCAAACAGACAGGTGAAGGAATGTTTGTGAATCAGAAGAAGTATGCCCTCAATCTGGTCAAAAGGTTTGAGTTGGAATCAGCCAAGCACATGAAAACTCCAATGGGTTCCAGCCAAAAACTGTCTAAGGATGATGTTGCAGAAGATGTCGACAGCACTCTCTACAGGAGCATGATTGGAAGCCTTCTGTATCTAACAGCAAGCAGGCCTGACATTATGTTTAGTGTTTGTGTGTGTGCCAGGTATCAAGCTAATCCCAAAGTCACTCATCTTAAAGCTGTGAAGAGGATTATTAGGTATGTTGCAGGTACAGTAGACTTAGGGATTCAGTTTTTCAAAGACACTAATTCAAATTTGATAGGTTTTAGTGATTCTGATTGGGCTGGGGATATTAGTGACAGAAAAAGCACATCAGGTGCATGTTTCTTTTTGGGGAATAATTTGGTTTCTTGGTTTAGTAGAAAGCAAAATTGTGTATCTCTTTCAACAGCTGAATCAGAATATGTAGCTGCTGGAGGGTGTTGTGGTCAACTAATTTGGATGAAACAAATGTTGGGTGATTATGGGTTAACCAGTGATACCCTGACCATATATTGTGATAATTCAAGTGCTATTGACATTTCAAAAAATCCCGTTCAACACTCACGAACTAAACACATAGATATTAAACATCATTTTATTCGTGATATAGTTGAGAAAAATATAGTGTGCTTAAAGTACATCCCTACAGAAGATCAGCTGGCTGACATCTTTACAAAGGCATTAGATTATGAGAGGTTTTCAAAACTCAGAAAATCTCTCGGGATGTGTACTCAATAAACATGTCCTGAAACGTGTTGCAGCACCTCATCAAATATCTTAAGCTGCAACACAATTTACTGAAGCATTTGCTTCATTAAATAATGACTTCACTGTGATGTATTATTTTCTAAATCAGTAACTGGAAGTCTTTCACCTTGAAACGTGATCATGCTTCATGTAAACATTTAGACAAATAATTACACTCACATAAGTCAAACTCCTCTATTTTGATAGTCATATCTTAGTAACTGAGGAACCTTCAAACTGAACACTTGATCATGTTCCATGTGAATTGTTTGACTTGAAAATAAGAGTTTATATATATATTATTAAAAAAAAAAAAAAAAAAAAAATAAATAAATAAATAAATAAATAAATAAATAAATAATAATAATAAAAAAAATTATTATATAAATATATATATATACATATATAATATCTATGCCTGTCAGCAAATTTTTTCTCTCACTATTAATCATTAATAAATGTGTTTTTCTATTTTTGTGAATATTTCATGAGTGCTACGGTTTTTATTTTTATTTTTATTGAATTATCCCTATTTATATGGGTCATGGGTACATGGGTTAGTCTTTTATCTTCCACTAAGTCCACTCCTTATTATGCCATGTGTCACGTTTTGTTTTAAACTGCCACATAGACCTTTTATTCTCCTTAATCACACTCTCCCCAACAAAAACGCACACTACTTCTTCACTTTCTCCACTTCAATTTTTTTTTCAAAGAAAATTAGGGCTTCTAAATTTCGTGCTTCTTTTTCGAAAATTCACACTCAAAAATCAAAAGCACAAGAAGCAAATTTTTTATCTACTGTATCATGGCATCTCCTCCTAGAAATCCTCTTCCAGCCGCAGCTGGTGATGTCCACAACGATGCTGTAGCACCTGAACCAGCAGACCCAAATCTGGTCATCATCGTTCATCCTGTCAACCTTGAAGCTATGCCGATCAGCTTTATTGAGCCCGGAGACGAGATGAATCCGATTGACCCAGACAACTTCCAGAACGTGGGTCCCTCTTCCAATGCAGGAAGGATTCCAACTCGTCAGTCCAAGCGTATGAATCTCTTCCCAGATCTGAATGCTACTGGATCACAACGCCGGAGGGGATAGGAAGACATTCTCCCAGCAGAGTCGGCAGAGGTGGAAGAAGAAGCGGCAGAGTCGGTCGCACTCCAGTCCAGTCAAACCCACGAAGAGGTCTTCATCTGGTAGATGAAGAAACTGATGATGAAGCAGGGGGAGACGTCACAGCCCAGCATGGCAACAGCAGCCTCTCAACATTCTGTTCCTGAAGGTGTTGCTGCACCTGTTTCTGAAGGTGTTGCTGCACATGTTCCTGAAAATGCTGCTGCACCTACTGTCTCAGACAAAACTTCTCAAAATGTTGCTGAGGATGCTGCTCTTTATCAAGATGAGGAAATGCCAGACCTTTCTGGGGTGTCATTTGCTGAGCATGTAGATATCACCACTGCTGATGCCGAGGACTTTGCCACCACAGAAGAAACCTCACTTTCTACTCCCTCAGCTCCAAAATGAAGATCCTCTGGAAACTCTGGTAGAGGCAGCTGTTCAAGTGGATGCACCACCTTCCCAGGTTGAAGATGAAGAGAAAAGTGATGACAGTTGGTGCCCTTGCCTCTTTTCGCAAGAATTTGCCATCCTCAGATTCAGACAGTGAATCTTCTGAAGACTCTTCTCAGCAGGAAAAAGATGTTGCCCCACCTGTTGCATCACCTGAGCCAGCATCCATCCCAGATGAACTTGAAGACTCAAAAGAAGAGGAATCCTCTGAGGAAGAAGAGCTAGACTTGGATGGGAAGGATCTGTCAACTCATTTTGAGGTAAACAATGCCTTCAGTCCTACCTTTTATTTTGAATCTGATTCAAGTTGAGTCCTCAAATCATGAATTGTCAATTCATTGAGGAAAAGAAAATTTCCAAGGAAGCGTTTGATAGACATAGGATCACTGTTTTTATTCATCAAAGAAAAATCCTTAGTCTAGTTGAGATTGCCTGTTCCTATGATCCCACTGTTGTGAAGGAATTTTATGCCAATTTGCAAACCTCATTTTTAAAGAAAAACTCTCCAAAACTTTGGCAAAGTTTTTGTGCGAATCAATTTTTTTTTCTCCCAAAATTGTCAACTCTCATTTACAAACTCCTACTGTGATTGATGAGGATAATTATGGTGATTTTACTGAAGTTTGTAAAACTCTGTTTGGCAATCGTTTTAAATCCTTCTCTCAACTACTCCATTCTGCTTTCTCAAAATTTGGGTCAAGATGAATCAAAATATCTTCACACCCCACTTGGCATGATACTTGTTTTTCAAAATTTTCTCAAAGCTCCTCATGTCCAAGATTTTCCCTGGAATGGAGATAATTCCCTCTCAACTGAATCAGGTCAAAATAATCTTGGGTACTGAAGGTGTTGCTCCTCATGTTGACAACACTCCTGACATCCTTATTTCTGTTTCTCGAGATTTATTTTGTTAAAACAGCTTACTCACTCCCTAGTTCAGATCACCTATCATCATGGTGGAAATACTTCAGAGAGATCTTTCTGATCAAAAAGGGGGAGAAAAAGCTAGTCATGAAGATTGAAGCAGGGACTTCTCATCCTTTGGATGCCAGAGGCAGGGAGCAAGGAGTCAATGAAAAAGGAGCAAGGAATGAGGGCGAAGCTCAAGGAGCAGAGGAAAGCAGTGGATCCAGTACTAGTGATGAAGGAACAACAACTGATATTGAGGAGACTTTGGATTACACTATTGTGTTATTTGCTATGTTGGTTGTCAAATTCAGGGGGAGTTCAAGCAATGACTCAGGGGGAGTTAAGCTAAAATTTAGTTTTGATCAGAAAGTTAAAAAGGGGGAGTTTGAAACACGTGAGCGTGGATTATCTCCACATTGTGTTTTTAACTTTCTTATTTTTTAAACTAAATTTTAGTTATGGAATAAGTAGTGCTTAGTGGGTTAAGTATAGTGCTTAGTGGGCTAAGTAGTGCTTAAGTGGGTTTAATTGTGAATATTATTCTAACTCCTTAAACTAACCCACTAACCCACTAACCCATGTTCTTGAGTGCTCTTGTAGTTGGTTTTTCTTGCAGATCATGGGCTGAGGAGTGGATGCTTGGAATGTCTATAAATACCGACTTCAAGACTCAAGGAAATTAATCGATTCTACGAATTAAAAACCAAGGGCTGAAGAGAATACACGAGTGTTTTAGTTAGGTTTTAGAATCGGTTGTTTGTACTCTTCGTGAGTACATTCTTTACGTACTCCTTATGAGTACATTCTTTACGTACTTCTCATAAGTACATTCTTTGTAGTCTAGATTGTTTAGTATATATGTTTCTAGACTTGGTTGTAAGAATGATCAAGATAGTGATTCATTCATAAGTTCTTTACGTACTCCTCACGAGTACATCTTTGAAATCTAGAATTTTTAATATTTTTCTTTTAGTATCTAGATTTGATTGTAAGAATGATCTTGAAAAAGATTCATTCGTAAGGAAGAAGTTTTCGCACCTCTTCTGTTTGTATTCTTGGAATACTGATTCTAATATATATTTTTCTGTCCTGTAAAGGACAAGTTCACAAGTCTTTACTTGTGAACGTGTTTAATTCTGAGTATTGTTCTTTTGTCTTTATATTTCCGCTGCATGTTTGTTCAAGTGTCATAACACTTAAGACAACACCTCTGTATTAAACGAATTCGGGACCATAAATTATTTCAGTTGTGTCAGGAAAAATATGAAGAATGTGCATGAATGCCAAGTGAATGTAATAATAAACCACCTATATTACAAAATTACTTGAAATAAAGTTGGGATGCAATACACTCTTGTCTACCCGATAAGGTGAATAAGTAGATAAATATAATATGCGTATAACACAACGTAGAATTAAAATAAGAAATTCATTAAATATTTAATAATTAATTTAGTTGTGTGGGTTTAAGGCCTTAATTCAAGCTGAACTATAATAAGTTCAAACTCGGCCTTGCTCACTATAAATTAGTTTCGATTGGAGTATAATTGGGCTGACTCATTGGGTTTCAGTTAGGCCTGCCTCAGTTGTCGTTCCTTAAACCGTTTATTTTTCAAATCCCCTCCCCCAATTTAGATCTGATTATGTGGATTAAGTTTAATTCCATAATCATCTAATGTAAGTGTGGTAGAATATTTGTAATGGTAAATAAATCTTGTTTAAATTTATCACTAGCTCCTGCAACTCATATCGCAACATCGTCGTCGTCGTCGTCATCATCAACTATGTATAATATCTTTTAAGATCGAAAACTGAAATGGATATGAAACGCTAGATGGTTACGTTTTCATCTCACTTTAATTCTTTCCCCGAAACGAATTTGTGTTTGCTACGGTTTCCAAAAATAATTCTCAAAACAAGTTCTAAAGTTTATCTCTCTTTCAGATAAGATGTGACTACTACAGTAAAAAAAAAATTGACAGCTACAAGTAAAAAATGTCTTCACTAAAAAAAATCAAACATTACTTTAATTTTTCAGTTTTTTCTCCTACAATACATTTTCAG